CTCTAAAGGATGAGGTAATAATTGTAATTAGTCAATATCTTCTACTTCATATAAGGTTAAAACCATACCCTCTGTCCCAGTAAACTAAATAGATTGAGATTGCCATGAAACGGAAACTTGGGTTTTCCATGTTCATGAAATATAGTATCAAATTCAAGATCATTACAAACAGGACGAGTTTTGAAGAATTCCTCCTTACAATTTTTATATGATTGAGAAAATATTTGAAAGAGCCCATTGGAATGAGTATTGCTTGGTGAAACCCAACATATGGAGGTTCACTGGGCTTCAATTGGAGGAAATGCATATATTTGAGTATAGTAAGTTCAATTTTTTAAATAAGGCACAGTATTTGAAAACCATGCAAAAATCCTCAACTATTGGGATGAAGCTCCGTAGGAGCAACATTAATCTTGGTGAGAAATTCACATTCAAAAGAAAAGAAACGAAGAGATAGGCCAAGGTCTTTGACAAGAAACTTATACATAAGAGTGTCAAAAAGATTGGTAGAACCAACAAGAAAAATAAGCTCATCCACAAAACAAGGCTCAGCCATAATTAAGTCAAAATGGTGAGTTCTTTTTTTCCAAATCCTTTTGACGATCAATGTATATTTTCAATTACAATCAAGTCCTTTCATTTATTTGAAAATTTGGAACTTAGGGGGCTTATGTACTAACTTGGCCAAAGATGTAACCTCGACCATATACTTAGCTTATTGAATTAAACTTGCCGACCTAAAACTTGGTTGATTATCTTATGTCATAGTGTTAGGTCAAAAGACAATCTTAGATCCCTCAAGTCATACATTTTAATGATTACAAACATAAACATTTTTCTAAAGAATAGTTTTTTAAATCATTCATTAAGACTAATGAGTGTAAGACAAATATATTAAGACAATTAGTTATCTTGACATAAAAAGTCTAACAGATGAAACACTTCATCTATTAGACATTTGTTTTGAATTCATATCATTTATGATGTCTGACAACTAAATAAACCCTTGTGCATATGATTCCTTAACATATCAAAGTAAAATAGCCTCCTTGGTATCCACAATGACAAAAGAGAAGAAAGACATGCTTTGCGCTAGATACAGACAAGCAAATTCCTTAAATCATGAAAATCCTTAGAGAAAAGTTATTTTGAACTGACACATGCATGACTCCATTCATTTGGTACCTAAAAGGTGATAAGTAGCTTACTTGATAAGATAAAAAATGACAATTTGGTGAAACGCATTAAATACAAACAATTAATGCACCAATGAGCACTTATCTCCACAAGGAGCAAAAATTGAAGATAGACGAAGCAAGCCTATGAGACGCGTTCAAGAATTTGCAACAGTCATCTTCACTGAAGTACCTATATAAAGAAGCTTGAAGATTCAGAAAGAAAAAGAAACTTACACACAAACACAATTGTATATTTCATTATTTTTGTATAAAGCCTTGTACTTAATATTGTTGTATCACATCTTGAAAGTAAGATGAACAACACAGTTGTTTTACTCAGTTTTAACTTTGTGTTATTGCTTTGAACTTGAAGAAATTTGACTGTAAAAGAATACTTAGTTGCTTTGAGTTTGGAAAGATTTGACTATAAAAGAATATTTGGTTGTTTGAAATTCGGAGAGGTTTTGTGTTAAAGAGTACTTGGATAATTACTTAAAGAGACAAGTCAAAGAATTCTTAAGTTGAACTAGAAGTAACTTGTGAAAGGATATTTATATCTTGATAAAAGATAATAAAACTTGATCGAGTTTGATCAAGAATTGGATATAGTCTTGATGGTTGAAAAAAACCAATATTAAAATATTTTGTATTCTTATGACTTACTCTTCCATCTCCATTCTTATAGTTTCGCTACTACATACTTCATTGTTTAAAAAAAATTGAGTTTTTGATTGGTATTATTCAACCCTTTTTTCTAGTGTCTTTCTTTTCTCTACACATAGATATTGACTAAGTCAATAATATAAGCTTGATCAGAGATAACGCTAACCTATCGACTTGGATATACCAAGTTGAATATACTGATTTCCAACTCCATCAATTATCCCATACCATAACTACAATGGTTGTGAATCTGAAGCAAACAAGCAAACACAATTAAACCAATTATGAAGAGGTATGTATAAGGTATGTAAGAAATATAACAATTGTCAAAATCTTTTTTGCAAGCATTTCCAATATGCTTTGGATGAAGATTGAGAATAATTTGATCATCTAGAGACGAGTAAAGAAGGAAATCTTATAGAGTAGTCATTTTATCCAAGTTTATTCTAGTAAAAACAAATTCACTTTGTAAAAATGAATCGAGTAATTGACCTGATGTTACATAATAAATTGATTCAAACTTTTTTCAAAATGAATTAAATTTTTTAATATAGATTGAATGGGTTATAAGAGGATTTGAATTGATTTGATTTTTTTAACACCCTTTATGGCCACCTAGCCTTCATCATTAAATGCAGTGTCAAAGAAGTTCAAAAACTGAAACATTTGAACATGCCTAAACAATTCCATGTGTAAAATGTGACTACATTTCATGAATATTATATAGAACAAGTTGAATCGACCAATGTCTCGGGCATTTGTACGTCTGAGATTTTGTAGCATCACCCTAACCGGTTTGCAAGTGGACCCGTTAACATTGCCCACTCAACAAAAGCCTTAGTTCAATCATTCTTCAGTGAATTTACTTAATGAATAATCCTCAATTTGTGAGAATGAGTATGGAAGATTCGGTTGCTGGGATATAGTTTTCGGATGAAGGTGTGATAGTTGAACACATACCGTAAGAAGAAAACAAAAAGAAATTAAAATGTCTTGACCACGAACCATGAACAACATTCAGTGTGTTGCTTAGATGAATACAAAGAAAGCCGTAAGAACAACGTTTTCTGCGTCGAAGAAAAGAAACACAGCGAATACGAAGAAACAGCACCACGGACACTCTTTACTAGTCCTCTGTCTCACTCACTTTACCATAAAGTACTCTCTACCATCATCCAACGTTGGAGGGGAGAGGCCTCTCTTAATTCTTAAGGACATTCTTATTCTGTAATATATTTATTGATAATTTGAGTGTTTCCTATCTCTATTTGTTATTATTAGAAAGATTTTTCTTTCATTCCAAATGGATAAAATGCAAGCTTTTAGCTACATTTAATTATATTCAATAAATCGCTAACATAATCTAGTTCCATACTAGTAAATAATTTGGTTTTAAATATTAAAAGAATTAAATATCTTTATACTTTCTATAAAATGAGAAAAAATTATTTTTAGTCTTTATTAATTTTTGTTTGAGTTTTTATTATTTAAAATACAAAACTATTGTTTTTTAAAATTCTCTTTAATGTTATGTGACATTTATTAACTATTTGTTTGTTTAATTCAAGATAACTGATCATCAATCTTAATTGACATTCATTAGTGTTTGCAATATCATATTAACATGCAACACCTTAATTTTTCTTAAATACTCTCACTATTTTATAATAAGTGTCATCTTAATTTATTTTACATAGATGAAAAAAATAGTAATTTTACAAAATTAATCTTATGATTAATTTTCTTTATTAAAAATGCAACAGAAAAATATCTTCCTACATAATTAATTATTAGGGATATAAATGAAAAATAGATAATTAATACTATATTAAAAGTTAACATAATTATTTTAAGATTTATTTCTTATTTAAATGTGACACTTATTATGAGATGAAAATAGTATATAAAATATATAAAAAAATTTAAATAAAATTTAAATTAGTGTTTATGATTAATTGTTTTTTTATATTGTTTATGGGATGATTATGTCATGCTAAAATCACAAGATAGTCTTTATGACTCAGCAAGTAGTTATAAAAGAAACTATAATCGTTCTAATTAATTGTTATTACAAATTAAATATAGCCTACCAACAACTAATCTGAATTTGAATCTGGCTAACTTAACTAACAAGGTTTGCTTTCTCTAATGGTGTCAAGTCTATTAACTTTGGGTATGTTGCAACTGCTATAACAGATTTGTAGCAAAAGATCATTCAATTAAACTCAAATTTTGTGGCTTTATGGTATTGAAAGTAAGCGCGAAAAGGCAAAATATACAACAATGTCAAACCAGACAAAGTTCTAGTATTTAAAAAAAATAAATTAATTACCCTAAAAAGATATTTAAACAAAATTATCAATAAAGTTTCATACCGTTGAGAGATATTTATATTTCTTAAATACGTTGAGTCTAATTTCTACTAATGTACATAAAAAAAAAATTATTAAAAGAGACACTAAATGTACTTTAGTCATTCTTATGCTTGAATTAAACTAATTTATAACTTTCAGTTAAGCATATTATTAATGTAAAAAATATATAAACAAATATAACTATTTTAAAATACGTTCAGGATTCTGACGGAAAGTATTCACAGTTACCAACTATGAACATCTTGCGAGAGTACTGTGGTTATAAAAATAAAACAAAAAACTGAAATGCTATAAAGTAATAATCCATGGTTAAAATGTTAAGAGTTATCGGTTATGTTTTAATAAAAAGAATTAAGGAAAAAATAATTTATTCAAAGATGAGTATATTTTTTGTTGCAAAAACTGTTTAGTAAAGAAAATAAATAAATAATTTTAATAGAAAAGCGGATGGTTTATTTCCTTTTTTTTTTTTTCAATACAAACCGCGTTCATATCATTAATGAAAATAACATTAACGTTAGTATAGTAGTTAATTAAAGTATTAAATAAAAAACCATATAAAAAATATTAAGTTCCGCTGCAAGTATAAGAATAATCAGACAAAAAAAAAAAGTATAAAGAATAAAACTTTATCACAAACGTTGTACGCGGGGAACTCATTCTAAATTTGTAAAAAGAAAATAAGAAGGAAGGGTGAACATGAAAAATGGTATGACACATAAAAAAGAAACATAATTTACATAATCAGCTACATGGTTGCTATACTTGGTACAAAGGTAAGTGGAGGCATGTTTTCTTGAGTTCTCCAACAAGTGCATAGTTCCCGAATGAATACAGCTCATATAAAAAGGGAAGTAATTGAGACTCAAAGGAAGTTCAGACATTAAATTTAAGAAGGAGAGGGTGAGGGACCCAAGCCTGAAAAATGAAAATGCTACAAAACCATCCACGACAAATGTGAAACCAAATTCCCCTCCTTATATTCTCAGCGTGGCCAGCTAGCGCATCCTGCCACTCTCTTTTCTCTTTCTCCAAGCTTCTTTTTTTTATTAGCCCCCAAAGCCAGAAACTCCAATTATAAGCCACCACCACCACCCCATTCATCTCCTTCTGGATAAAAAGAAAACATGAAATCAAAGGCAAGAAGACCAAAATCAAAACCACTCATATTGTTTCTCATTCTGTCCCTCTTCATACTTGCAGCTTCAACATCGTCCTCCAACGAGGCGAAAGCAAAGAGTAACAATATTAGCCGCCAATTCAAAGAAGCCCCCGAATTCTACAACTCCCCGAAGTGCGGGTGGATGAGCGAGAGTTTGATATGTTCGGAGGAGGCAGTACAGGTGGCAATGACGCTGGACACGACCTACATCCGAGGATCGATGGCGGCGATCCTTTCGGTCCTCCAACACTCGTCATGCCCGCAAAACATATTCTTCCACTTGGTGTGCTCCTCCAGCGCGTCCCTCCTACGCGCCGCAATCTCAAACACATTCCCGTACCTTAAATTCAACCTCTACACGTTCGACGAATCCCAGGTGTCGGGCCTGATCTCCACCTCCATCCGCTCCGCACTGGATTGCCCCCTCAACTACGCCCGCTCCTACTTAGCCAACCTCCTCCCGCTGTGCGTGCGACGCGTCGTTTACTTGGACTCCGACCTCATCCTCGTAGACGACATTGCCAAGCTGGCACAAACGCCCTTGGGGGAAAACGTGGTCCTGGCCGCACCCGAATACTGCAACGCCAACTTCACCTCCTACTTCACCCCAACCTTCTGGTCCAACCCTTCGCTCTCGCTTACGTTCGCCGATAGGAGGCCCTGCTACTTCAACACGGGGGTCATGGTCATCGATCTCCAGCGCTGGCGCCACGGGGATTACACCACCAAGATCGAGGACTGGATGGAGCTCCAGAAACGGATCAGAATCTACCATTTGGGCTCTCTTCCCCCCTTTCTCCTTGTCTTCGCCGGGAACATTGCTTCCGTCGATCACCGCTGGAACCAGCATGGCCTCGGCGGGGATAACTTTCGTGGCCTTTGCAGAGATCTCCATCCTGGGCCTGTTAGCCTTTTGCATTGGAGCGGCAAAGGTAAGCCCTGGGCTCGATTGGACTCCAACAGGCCTTGCCCTTTGGATGCGCTTTGGGCTCCCTATGATCTTTTCCAAACTCCCTTCTCCTTCGATTCTTGATTCCCATCCATCTATACATATATACTCACATTTATAATAATATAGAGTTATATATACATATCATATCATACAAATAAAATAACTGTGAATATAAACACCTCCATATTTTGATGGATGCGTCAATTCATCTACATCTACTTTTCATTTCAACTTAATAAAGTTCTGCATACAGTATACACCATTCATCATTCTTCTCCCCCCTTCGGATCCTCTGCTTTACTTTTTTATTTCTCTACTGCACTACGGTAATAATTATTCGAGGTTAGTTTGGTTTTCGTAGATATCATCAATCATGGGTTCATGCACGTGGAGCCTTACTTTAATCTTGTTCGATTTCACACGGCCGTCAAAATAATATGAATCCATCGGAAGATTAAAACTTCAGATGAAGTATTTCTATAACACGTAAAAAAAACGTTTAATTAGTTTCGATTCAATGTGGGTAGTGGGTACGAAGGTATTTATTTATAAGAGGATCAAACTTTTTTCATTCATCAGAATTCATTTATTTCTATTTCATTTTATCCGAATGTAATAATTTGTTCTCCTCACTTTCTTAATTCACAAATTATTGCAGTTTTGTTTTAATTTTTTGGATAGAATATTGCTAGCTAGACTTTTGATTCGTAAATGTTAATTGATCTTTTATTTTGTTTATTAATTATCAAAGGAAGCAAAAAAAATAGTTCTATAATTATTTATTAATTTAACTGAGAAAGAAACTTAAATAATTAACATCAATTTGATAAAAATCAGAGTGATGCAGAAAGACAAAAGGTCGAAGTCCAATTTGCTATTAATATATTATATAAATACTGACCAAACATTATCTAGAAATAAGTCTTCTATAAAAAAAAAAAAAAAACAAATTGACTAGAGAAACATTATATAGATAATGGCCAAGCTAGAAATATATCTTGAAAAAACAAGTATCTTTGAAAAATATTTCTTTTTCATTTATAAATTCTATATGTTCTTTGCTTTGTACTGTAGATTACTATAAAATTGGTCAATGACATAATAGTTAATAACATTATCATTAATTTATTCACTTGACAACCTGCAGGTAATTATTAATACTCACTTTACTTCCGTTTCTTATTCAATAATTCCGTTTTGTGACCATAAAACAATTATTGCTGGTTTTTTTAATTGAGAAAAGAAAAAGCTGTGTCGGTAGAGGAAGGAAAAAAACGTGAGAGAACATGAAGTCAAGATCGCAGCAAAGGTGAAGGAAGCTTTTAATAATAATGACACGTGGCGAGCATTAAGTGGCTGAAGAAGGTGTATGAGTTTCTAGTTTTTCCATTTCATAATTTGATATATATGACTTGTAATTTTACAAATAATTCTTTTATAATATATAAAAATTAAAGAGACAATTTTTTAGGTTCAATTTTTATGTTTAAAAACTATGTTTCCTTTTCTTTTATTTTGATAAGGGAGAAATGAGACATTTCATACCTCTTTATTTAATTAAAAAGAAAAATGAAGTAATAATTTAAAGAGTGAGAAATTTGAAGGTATTATTCAAGTAAAAAAATAGAAAGTAAATAAATAAAAGAGAATAAAAACAAGTTGTACTTTTTTTGGGTGAATAAAACAAGTTCTATTCGAATTCGTAATATGTAGAATATCTTATATACTAGTTCTGATTCTTTTCATTATTTATTGTGAGACTTCTTATTGGCTCTCACTCTTGCCATTTTCATTCCTTTAGGAAAAGAATTCAATAGAAAATAAGGAGCTAACAGAATAATAAGTATATATATCGTTGAATAATAGTGTACTGTATGAGTAGCTCTTGTATTTATAGAGCCTTTTTCAATCACCATGACAATGATTGTTGTTCTCTCATAAATGCTCTTATGTAATTGTTGGTTGAAATATTTTTTAAATAGAATATTAGTGCAATATTTTTTATAAAGATCAAACAATTTATAATAAAAAAAACTTAAAATATTAATGATTTTAGAATTAAAAGTATTCATTATTAAAACATTTCTCATCAAAAATTGTTTATTTCATATAGACTAAAAATACATTTAATTTAAAAAAAATTAAGCACAAGTAAATTCTTATCGAAGTTATGAACATTGCGAGAAATTTGTCTTACATTTTTTAAAATCTATTTTTTTATATTAAAATTGGGTTGGAGCTATCATAATAAGTACCTACCAATTTAAGTTTATGCATTTTTTATTAATAAATATTAATTATTAATTATGATATTAACAAAGAGATTCAAATCCACATCCTCGATCTATTTCTATATTTTCCCCTCCAAACCACTAGTTAAGTTTATGCCTGTAAATGCTTAAATTATTATTCTACCTAACTAAGGGTGATCAAAGTGACTGATATGCTGATCAAATTGATTGCACTATCTTACATTGAAGAAGTTGAGTAATGGAAGACCCAATACTTAATTATTTACATGCATCTGTTGTGTTGATAAATTAATTGGCTTTACCAAATCAAATTGCCGCTTTTAAAATTAATGTATCATTGTTGTACATGTTGTTCTAATTGGCCCAGCATTCATCAGCTATTTATAATTCTGCAATGATATATGTTCTTTAATTTAATTCCGGCCGGACTTTCTTGTCTTTGTCTCAAATATCTATATTTATAATTATTTAGATCAAGTGAAATTTAAAAAAGTCATTATTATATAACTTATATAATAGATAAATATTTATTTATAAATTTTTTAATATGATTAATGACAATTTTTGTCTATATTACAAGTTTTATAAAATATTCAACTTTTTAATTACAACAGTTAACTTTTAGTTGGTGTAATTTTTAAAATTCTTGTTAATTTCTTGTTTTTTAAGTATTACTTTAATTCTTAACCAAAAGATTGATGTTATTTTCAACTGCTTAGAAATTGTTTTGCAGTTCTTTTATAAGAAATTAGCATGATGTGAAGGTTATTGACCTATTTTCTCATTATAAGAAACTATTGACAATCGTTAGATGTAGAAAAAATATCTTAATTTTTTTTAGACATGTATCATTGAAGGCCAATTAATTGGGGTGGTGTATATATGTTAGAATTTTCTTTATTATATTTTATTTTGGTTTGTTAAGATGAGTTGAATGTATGACCTAAAATATAATTTATCGTACGAGTCTAATTTTATCATGTGATTTAGTTTGGATTTTGAGAATCATCACATATTTATATGTTTGTTAAGTCAAATTCATTAGACAAGTATGCACTGAATATGAGTGTGGGATTAATGAATCTAAAATTCATGATCGATGAATATTAAATTAATCATATTTATAGAAAGAAAAGATCTTCATTTAACTTCGGTATTATATGATGACCAATTGTTTTATTCAAGAGTTAGTATATTATTTGTTTCATTTGTAAATTTGATGTGGTTTTCTTGCATATATTTCCATTTTTATCATTTGTTTCTTTTTTCTACAATTCATTAATTTGTTGAAATTTCAATTTTAATCGATTTGTATTATGAATCCCGACCCTAACACTTGCAAATAAAATAATAAAATAAAATAAAATAAAAAATCCCTAACATACCATACTAGGGACGGAACTAGGTGTTGTAAAATAGGGGCACTCACCCCCCTCACCCAAACCAAACTATATCGAATACGTATATATTTTTGAATAATAATAATAATAAAATTGTCCCCCTTCTCTCGTCAATCTACAACAAATTAAAACGGTTTTTAAAATTTTACCACTCTTTTTGCAAAACTACCAGCCACATCTAATATTTTTTTTTTTTAATTTTAGAAAGAATAACATTTATATTTTTCTAATTTTAAAAAAATAATAACATTATATGTTTAAGGAAAAACTCTTTACATGTTAATGTTACTTTTTTTTTTTTTTGATACTGAGTGTTAATGTTACTTTACACATTACAGAAAAAGACTTAAAATTTTAAAAGAAATTGTAATAAAAAAGATTTTTACTTTACATATTACAAATAATTGTGGAAGAATTTTACTATTGAAGAAATCATGAAAATATTTTATCAAATCAATAACAAAAAAATATCACAATCTTATAAGTTTTGATCTTTTTTATAATACCAAAAATTATTTTATTTTATTTTATTTCATTGAGTCTTACACTGTCGCATCATAAAATAATTCATTATTTTTTTACTTCACACATAAAAACTTTAAGCAATTCTTTATATATTTTTTTTTGGAAATGATTTACCTATCCTTCTCTTTCCTTTTCTCAATTTCATAATTTTAAAAACAATATTTTATTCATGAGTTACAAAATAGATAAAACTTAAATTTAAGATACCTTTATGTGACATATATATATATAAATTTTAAATTTTATATATTTGATATATACATTAAAAACTTTAAATTAAAAGTTGAATTGTTAAAAATTAATAGAAAATAATAAATAAATCTTTTATATATATATATAAAATTACAACTATATCAAATCTGTTGCGTTCTGTGTTTTTGTTTTTAATAAAAAATGTTTTCTTAATCAATATTCCGGAAACACTAGTTATTATTTGCTGTAAAAAAAAAAATCTATCTGATACAACAGGCCCGAGATAAAAATATATTCCACGACAGACGTTGTTTTTCGACTTTCCATGACAAACTTGAATAAACACAGGTTCATGATATATGTACCTCCTTTTTTCTATAAGTATACCTCTTTTTTAAAAAAAATAATTAAAATTTTAAAATATTTTTAATTTTTTAATTTTTAATTTTTAATTTTATAATTTTATATTCATAATATTTAATTTAGTAAAAAAAATTTCATACATCTTCTCTCTTTTTTAAAAAAATAATTAAAATTTTAAAATATTTTTAATTTTTTAATTTTTAATTTTTAATTTTATAATTTTATATTCATAATATTTAATTTAGTAAAAAAAATTTCATACATCTTCTCTCATTTTTTCAATTTTTACATGTATCCCTTACCTTTCTTTCACTCTATCTATTTTGATAGCATATGAAAATTAAAAGAAAAAAATAAAGTGTGTGAAAAAAAGAAAAAAGTAACAAATTAAATTTTAAAAGTGTAAAATTATAAAATTTATATAAAAAAACTATAATATATTATAATTAAAAATATATATAAAAGAAGTGTACTTATAGAAAAAAGGAGGTGTATATATCAATATCATCAGCCATAAACACATGTTACATAAGTCCACTTCTTTTTTTTTTCTGAATTGGACTTAACTTTCAAAGCCCAAAGAAGGGTTTAGAAATTGACGGAAAATAACAAAATATAAAAAGAAAAAAAAGAAGGAAACGAATATGCTTAGAGTTGGAAAGTTCGTTGCGCAGAAAATCCTAGAATTAGAAAGGCCGAAGGCCCGAAGCGTCCACAATTAACTCTTCAATTTAGAATCTTAGATAATTCTTAATACATGTGTCGTACAACGTTTCTGGATTACTCATTCTCGTTGTCCCCAATTATTCATTATTAAGAACTATAAATTTAAATAAAAGAATATTAAACACGGAAACTTTTCTTTTCCCTTTCTTTCTGGACTGGAGGGTTCTGCTTGGAAAAGATATATTAAGTATCAGACTTTATGATTATTAAAGATATAGTAATTGATTAATATATATATATATATTAATTAGTTGGAGATTAATGATTAATGTTAGTTTATATAAAGGTTTAGTGTACTCACATTGTATTCATTTTTACTCGTTCTATTGAATGAATAATTTCTATTTTTCTCTTTATTCTCTCTGTAAACCATCCTTGCTAGCAGTGATAATTACATGTATGTTGGGTTTTTTTTTTTTTTTACTAATTCGAACGTGCCTCATAGTAGAAGTTGCACATTATAGCTTTTGCGTTATTTCTCTTCTTTACATGACTGATTTTGGTGCATAATATTTGTATTTTACATAGATAAAAATATACCTTTGATAAAAATCAGTTTATCCACTATAGTGTGTTTAGTAAAATTGACATATAAATTAGTTGAAACTTACAAGTAATAAGCTAAAATGTGAAAAGTTAAAAACTTGAAAACTTTAAGTTACATGATTGAATAAGTTAAACTAATTTATAAACTCATAAAAAGTAACTTACAAAACACAATTTAAATCAAATGTTTGTGTGATTTTGTTTTGATCTGGAGGACATTTAAGATTTTCTAGGTGAGCCACCAAAGTTAAAATATTTAAAAAGTATAATTTGCCTTTTTTAATTTAGAGTTAGAATTTTTATAATTTGCTTACTTATGAATATATCGGTCCTGAAAATTAAGTTAAACTAGTTTATAAACTCATAAAAAGTAATTTACAAAACATAATTTAAATCGAGTGTTTATGTAATTGTTTCGATCTAGTTGCCGTTTAGGATTTTCTAAACGAGTCACCAAAGCCAGAACATTCAAAAAGTGTAATTTGCTCTCATTGGTTTAGGGTTGGGATTTTTATAATTTACTTGTCCATGGGTCTATGGGTCTCAAAAATGTCAGAAAGTCTATAAGGTGACTATTTAATATTGTGATATTTTACTATTAAAGATAAGATTTTATTTCTGATAAGGATCTCATATTTGATATATTCCGATATCCTTTTGAGGAGGGGGTATACATTGAGAGGTCAACCACCACTCCTCGGGTACACCCTCTCAACTTAGCATTTGGGGTGCTCGACCAAGGATCTCGACCTAGACCACTAGATAAGCCCATTTCAGAATTTATTCGGAATGGTACACTTACCCACCAACCTTATGCCTAGAAGGCGAGGGGGATTGAGAAACGGTCACATTCTCCCTTCTTAAAAAGTATCCTTATGTCGTTAAGATTTTTGACCGGTTTCTCGCCAAGGATATTCATTCAGAGCCTCATGATGGAGACCATTTAACAAGCCCATATTGAAATATATATGAAATGATACAAATTTAGATTTTGATAAAATTGATTTAATGAAATATTTTTAAACTATTAATTAATGATTTGATGCGTTGATTTAAGATTTAGATTTGACTGTAGATAAAATAGGAAAATTTTAAGGTAAGGATGAGTTAATGACAAATGGGATAAAAATTAATATATATGTAAGATAAATGTTAATATGGAAAAAAAAAAGTTATGTTACTTTGTTTGTATAAATTGATTGAATCCTACATAAATAGACAAAATGATTTCTAAGCAAATGGACTTTTTGCTAGACTTATGTATTGTCTTAAATTTTAATTTTTCTTTTAAAAGTCTGGGTCATTATGTATTTCAATAAAATTACAGGAGCAAAAATACACAAATTTTGTTTGAAACAAAAATAGATATCTATCAAATTTGTTAACGATAAATCTCTATTATAAATTAATTTAACTAATTAATCCCTTTTAATCAAATGTTATAATACTTAAATCAAATTCCATACTTAAAAGATATTGACTTAAAAATAATAAAAATGATTGGGATCAAGCCTGCACCTTGTCACTAAGGGTGCATTCATACTCTAGTTGTTTATCATAATTTTGTATTTAAAAAAGTTGTAAATTTGACACAAAAATAAATTAAAAAATAAATTCATGATTGTGGAATTTGGTGTCATCATCAACTTGGGTTGATACGAGTGGTAAGGGACTCACGTTGGTTAACCAAGTTATCAAAATTTAAATCCTAACTCTTGTGAATGTCAAAAACTCAAGTTGGAAAAGAATGTCCATTTATTTGGTGTTCGTTAAACTCTCTCGAAAGATAGTCCTCGTATTCGACGAGAAATACTCTTTGATAATAAACTAAAAAGAAAAATTGGTGTCTTCATCACCAAACATACTATCTTAAATTTTAATGAGAAAGAATTTTTTAAGAAAGAAAATAAAAATAAAAATGGGACCTTTTTCCTTATTTGGAACAAGTGAACTAGGGAGATATTTTAATTTTTAAATGGTTAGGACAAAAATATTTAATCCAAGGACAAAAATGTCTTTGCCATAATTTTTTTCTTCTATTTTTTATTTAATCAAGAAGAGAGTATTCAACTTAATTTTCTCTTCATTTTGTTTCTTACTATTATTTATAATGTTGGTAACCTAAAATTTATTCATGTTCTCTTCTTTTCTTTTATTTCTTTATGTTCCAAAATAGATTGAGGACCTTTTCTAGAGAAACTTAATGATAATCTAATTTCAGAACATTCAAATAATGTAACTCATAGTTTTAAAATCTAGTACGGATCAGTTCGACAAGAACTTGAGTGACTAAATTAAGTTAAGTTGAGAGTTAGATCAAATATGTATGTGATTTGATTTTGACATTATCAAATCAATGTAAATTCGATATGAACCTATCCAGATGGACCAATTTTTCTTATTGTTGGCTCAAGACACATGACCTACGTTTGCTTTTACATATGTATTGATGGCCTTTAGTTGCTTTATATACTTATTAATGGTATGATGAGCAAAATATAGTAAAAATTGTATCCATCGACAATTGATTCATGATCTTGACAAATTAAAGAAAAGTATTTAACCACTACATCAATTGAGACTTTGTTTTTGTTTATCACTAGAGATTCAACTTGTGATTCACTAGTTCGACTAGTAACTCACCAAATCCATATTCTTATGTACTTAGTTGATTATTGGTACGAGTTTTAAAATATTGGTGCCACCTACCTCTTCTTAATTCGCTTTTCTTCTTTAGAGCATCTCCTCTTAATTCTAAAAAGAAGTTATATGCTTGTGTTTAAATATATTAAAATATCATATTCTTTGAAGATAATTTTTAAAATTATGGCATGATTACCTCTAATTCTATCTACAGTTCTGAAAATCAAACCATAAGGTTTTTATTTTAATTACGTCAATAGATAATTATCACAATCAACCGTTTATTTCCATTGAAACAATTTAGGCTAATTGGCTTTAAGTCAAAGGTACACTTTCCTATATCTTACATGCATGTATATATAAAATGCTAAAATATACACTCTTGATTTAAATTAAACAATTTATAAGCATAAATTAAGAGTTGATAATTTTGTATTCAAAATATATTAACAGTATATGAAATTTTACGAATTCAGTTGCCAAGCTTTAATTGGACATACCTTCTTTTTTTTTTTTTTTTTTTTTTTTGCATAATTCTACCTTGCATCCGAATGCATTCTAAATGGGTCAAATAAAATATTCCTCCTGTTTGACATTGGTTCTTTCCCACAAAATACCTCTTTCATGCTCACGTTAAAATAGTTAAGATTAATTTAAGGGAGTTGCTACGATACCTTCAAAGATTGAAGAGTTTTAATACATTCTTTAATATAAACTTATAAAAATTAAAAAAAAACTAATTTAATTATAAAATGAATAATTCAAATTATATTTATAAAATAAAAAGTAAGATAAAATTATAAAGATTAAAATTATAAGATTTCAATAATGTTATAAAACATTAAAAAAGAAAAGAATTAATAAATAGTAGAAATAAAAAATTATTAAAATTATAATATAAAAATTCAAAAATTTAAGACAAAAGACAAAAATATACTTAAAAAATTATTAAAATTAAAATATAGAAATTTAAAAATTTTAAGTGAAAAGACAAAAAATATACTTAAAAAATTATTAAAATTAAACTATTTAAATATATAATAATATTATTACAAATAAAATTAGAATATATAAAATAAAAATAAAATAACTAAATAATTTAAAATTTTAAAGAATAAAATATCATAAATATTATTTAAATAAATTATTAAAATATAAAATATAAAAAAATTATAATTATAACTGTACCAGTACCCTCCCAAATAATATGGATACCATAGAATTTCTCTTAATTTAATAGGTTTGGCTGTGTTAGAAGTTTGAATAATCTGCGAGTTGGTATCAAGTTCTTGGTGTAAATTTCATTAACATTGTTATATATAAAAAATAATAAATATTCAATTAGATATTCAGATTGAGAGTAGTTATATCGACCCGCGTGACATTCCAATCCATCTATGTTTTTTTTTCCCACCTTCTTTAACTCTTTCAATCCGGAAAATGCAAAGAAGTGGGGAAGATTTTTGTGGCCTGTTGAAATTAATTAAAGAAGTCAAGTCTTGGTTGTGGTCACAGCCATATTCGGTCTTTCAGGCAATTTCCTTGCAAGCACAACACTATACTTTTCCTACTTGTTTTGTAATTGCATCATCTTGGGAGCCAGAATGTCCTATATAATTAATTAAACATGCCAGTGATGCCACAACACCCCTTGTAAGTTGTAAGTTGTAAGTTGTAACCATGACATCGGCCAAATGGTTATTCAAGATAACCTTCCCATGCTTAACCCCTCCCAGGCCCAAATCATTACCGGATATTGCCGGTGACACTGCAGCTGCTCCTACTACACCACCACCCCTAATTGGGCCATCGGGCCCAAAAGACGATGACAGGCACAGGCTGAAAGACGTTTTTGATCACTTGGACATTGACAAAGACGGGAAGATATCGAGCACGGAACTAATGGATTACTTTGCGTCCGTGGGTGAGTCCCTGAGCCGAAAAGTGGCAGAGAGGGTGGTCAACGAGTTTGACTCTGACGGTGACGAGTTACTCGATTTCGGAGACTTCGTGAAACTGATGAAGCAAGAGGAGAGTGAGGAGTTGGAGGATGTTCTGAGAAGCGCGTTCCAGATGTTTGAGGTTGAGAAAGGGTGCGGTTGCATAACGCCCCAGGGCTTGCAACAAATGTTGCGCCTACTCGGAGACGTTAAATCCCACGATGAGTGCGCGGCCATGATTCGACCCTTCGATCTTGACGGTAATGGCTTCCTTGATTTTCACGAATTTCAGCAGATGATGTCCCCAGCTTAATCTTAGGTTTCCTTTTGCTTTTGCTTCTCTCTTTCTTCCCTCAACTCCACTTTAATCAAACTGTAAAATGAAACTCGATGCTTTCTTACGTAAGATAAACCCTTTCCTACATATGTCCCTCACTTTGGTTCTTGCATTGCATGAACTTTAAAAATATACATTACAATAGATGAAATAAAGTCTATAATTATTATTTTTTTGGTACAGAAAGTGTATAATTATTTGGTTCTGAAGTTTGTTAGTCATGTAAATGTGAAAAAAAAATTATTTTATTTTTCATTAGGGAAAATCAAATAAAAATGTCAAAGAATATACGCTTGCATAGTGGCGTAAAGAAAAAAAAAGCTCAAACCTTGCTACCTAAGATCTAGACAACCCATATCTTTCACGTATGGTACTGAATAAATATCCATTTGGAACATGTAGAACTGTCAAAAGGGATTGCCCATTTTTTACTGGCTTAGCTTGGTGTGTTGGTATGTGAAATTGAGTTAGATCGGTTCACTTTATTTATTTTTTATAATTTTATATGTAATTTGGAGGAAAAAAATTATCGAGTCAAATCAGTCCGATTTTTTTTCAGACCTTAGAATGAGGGGTCAGTCCCGCGATTTAAAATTTGAGACCTAAAAAATAGGAGAAAGAGAAAAGAAATTAGTTAAAGAAAAAAAAATATGGTGTGTTTGCTTGATATACATAGGTGATAACATCTTAGCAAAGTCGACAGTATATTATTAATATAGAATTACATGAAAAAAAAAACTCTGAAGTACTCAAATATAATAAATGAATATAACTCTTTTTTTTTTGACAAATATATTTTTCTCATAAAAATACATAGTTTTTCTTTTTATAAGCAAAAGAGATTTAATTAATTAAAAGAAGTATAAGGAATACTCCAAAAATACAAATCCGGGTTATAATACCAACTAATGTAACTAAAAGAACAACCAGAGATATAACTAGCAATCCATTTTCATGAACGCAGTTTAATACTGTGCAACACTTTCTTGCAATCCGTAGCACCTTGCTGAAAGATAATAGCATTATGATGAAACCATAGTGACTAGATAACAGAAATCCAAACCACAAAAAAACATTGAGAACGTATTTTATATATATCAAATTCGTCCAATATAAATTAAGAGAAATTAAAGAATTAGGAAGAACTACCACAACCTCCAACCAATTAGTAACAACTAACCAAGTATTAAAAGTCATAAGGCACATTAGAAAGAAATGAAGAGGGTCTTCAACAAACAGCGAGCAAAAAAAACATAAATTATTATCAAACTCCACACCATGTACTTATAACAATGATTTGCACGGAAACACATTCAATAATACCTATCAACAAAACCTTAAACACTTGATCGGAACCTTGCATTTCCAAAGATTTTTTTATAATTAGTTGAAAATCGGAAGAATATCTAAGTTCTCTACCCAAAGAACGCTCTAGCCAAATATACATACTTTTCACCAAGAATACATGGTTCTAACATGTATTGTCATTAAACTCAAATAAATAAATATTTCCACCATTAATTTCACAAAATTAAAAGAAACATATTTAAAATATGGTAATATATTTATAATTAATAACAAAATCTAAAATTAATATATAAAAAAAACATAATAAACACGCTGGTCTTTCAATTTTACGTGTATATGTACATTTTTCAAAAGCTTGGGGTTGGGAAACTGGGAAAAAAATATGAAGGATTACATCAGGAAATGTCATTGTCAATTGTCATTATCCGTTGATTTATTTGAACTCATCGTCAATATTTTTTTAGTTTGATTCTCTTCACATTATTGTTACGAAGGTAGGATTCAATTTATTTAAGATTTTAATTTTAATATATTACTGGCATAAACAAAATTTATACTCCAAAATTAATTAAAAATTAGATGTAATTTTTAAATTAATTATTATAAAAATAAATATTTATATTTTAAATTATTATAAATAAAATAATATTTGTTTTTAATTTTTTTGTAATAATTATTTCAATCTTTGTATTTTTCAAATTCATCCAACTATTCTTGTTATTTGGCTTTAGTCAACTTAAAACTCTTCTACGTAAACTATAAGTTTAGATAACTCATTTGCGTGGTTTGTACAAA